GTTTAGAAACAACACAGGCCATATAGAAAGACTATTCCTCAGAAGATTTCGCTCAATTTTGCCCAAAACACCAAAAAGTTGCACTTTTTTGTTTTAATCGGAGAGCCCCGCCAGAACCCAGTAAACCGAAGTAACGTCATTCAAACGTGGATACAAATGTTTTGTACTATGAGGAGTCGAAATTTTAGCAAATTTTACAAGATTAAATACTGTAACATCATGAAATATGTGAATATCTACAAATTTTTGAATGTAAAATTTTTTTGTGGAAGATTTTCGCGGCTGTTAGAAAGCTATTTGAAGGCAGCGCAAAAAACTGCTCTAGAAAAACTGGAAGCGTTTTCGCGTAAGAACACCTGAAAATCATTATCTCAATTTTTTGTCAAATGGCAAAATGCGAAAACTTTTTGGTGTTTTGGGCAAAATAGAGCGAAATCCTCTGAGGAATAGTCTTTCTGTGTGCCCTGCGTTGTTTCTAAACAAAAAAATCGCTAACAAAAAATTTTCATTTCTTCGGCAGATTTGGGCCCACAAAAATCATGATTTTCAAAAATTTCGTAAAATACAAAACTTAGCCTTTTTAGGGGAAAATGTTAATTATTATTTATTTTTAACACAGTTCCAATACATTACAACTGTTTTGGGACAATTTCCAGCGCGTTTGAGCATTTTTTCTTCCACCCGGACTCGAACCCGGGACCTTTTGAATGGTAGTCCGACCCACTACCGGTTGCGCCACGACATTTTTGTACACCTATCTGGAGATGCGCATATAGCCTATCCGATGCAGAATTTGATGCTGATTCCAAAAATGAAAAAAAATTCCGAGAAAATTATTGAAAAAAATCGAGAAAATCGAGATTTTTTGATTGAGCATTGGCGTTACGGTATGTTACAGTAACCTGACAAACTTCGGGTCAATTACAAAGTTGTTCAGCATGGCCAATAACGTATATATACTCAGTTCTGAGATATTTCGGCAATAAATCAGTACAATATATCGCATTATGCGAAATTCAATAAATACGTCATATCTCGGTCATGATGACGAATTTTTCGAAAAAAATTCACCAAGTTCTTTAGCATCCTACATGTCATCAGTTAAGACAAAAAAAAGTGGGGGTCAATTTCTAGGGCAGACCCCCCTTCCACAGCTCGCGAAGTGCGTTTTAACTTTTACGGGAAAAGCAAATATAAATATGGCACAAATGAAGACTTTCACTGACAGAATCTATTAATCAGAGGTGGCTCTTACAGCTCCAAGAATCTTTTAAAATCCAAGTAAACGGCTATCAAAAGCCATAGACATTTTTTAAAATTTATCAAGTCAAAGATACATTTTATTTTCCCATTCCAAGAATTTCACAGAAAAAATATATCATTTTAAAAGTTTTTCAAAATCTTTGACGCATTTCTCCAAAACTATTTTCAGTACGCATAAGCGACTTTTTGCTCCACGCTTTCACCAAAAAAAGCCAAAAATTTTCCAAGTCCGAGAAAGTCAATTGAAAATCATTCCAAAAATTTTCAAAATTTTAGCGGTTTCGGCTCGAAAATTCATCCAAACTTTGGAAAGGCATAGAAAGGTCACCTCAAAACACATTTTTTTGAAATTCAGTCGGTTGAAAATGGCGGGTCTCAGCTCCAGAAAAATCTAAATTTTAGGAAAATCGGTGGAGTCTCCGCCGAGAAATTCAAAGAAAAAAGTTACCCCTTTCGAGTGGCCCACCCAGTACAAGACTTTTTTGTATAAACATTTTTGTAACCGCACCTCCAATGCCACAAAACCACAACAAAAAATTAAACGACTATCAAGAAAACCTAGAGCAAAAAAAATGGTCGAGACATTCCTCTAAAATTAGCCTTGTTTTTTAATCGGTGCTTGAGAATGTAGACGGCTGGCAATGACGGCGAAAACATGGTCGACAAAAAAAAGATCTTTGAAATACGTAACAGACCTTTGCAGGAGTCGACAAAAGTCAAAAAAGATTTTAGATTTACCTCGAACTTGCTATCAAAATGTGTCACAGAAACACACGTTGCAGGAGATTTGTCGGCAAATGTTTTGGAGGTCAGAAAACACACGCCTGCAGGGTCGAAAGAGACGTGTGAGAAAGCGATAGTGCCCTTTATTTTTTGAGGTGTCTAAAAATAATGGGCAATAATCGAAAAGTGGGGGATAAAAAGATCAAAGGAAGAGATCGGAGGGGATGTTATCCATGAGTGCAAATTGAGAAAAGAAGTTCAAATAGGATTTCTGTGACAATTCTTGAGGACGGAAACGTACAATGTGGTATCTGATCCAGTTGCAAAAAACATACGATTTTACATCCGGATGCATCCCGCAAGCATCAAAAATGCAGCAAAATGCTTTCCCCGGATGCAAAATGGAACGTTTTTTGCCACTGGATCAGGTCTCCTACTGTAGCAAGTTCGCAGATTTACGTACCTTGCCAAATAACTCTTCTTCCTGAAGCTGATTTTACAATGAGCTTCGATCTAAGTCAAAATTTACAGTGGCGGACCTGATCCAGCGGCAAAAAACGTACCATTTTGCATCCGGGAGGTATCAAAAAATGCAACAAAATACCTGCCTCTAGAACTGAAAAAAATCCGATTTCAAAAGCGCGCCCACCGTTGTTGTGAGCGAGCCCTTCAAAAACTTAGTTTTTTAGTTAGAGAGGGAGGCATTTTGCCACATTTTTTGATACTACCCGGATGTAAAATGGCACTTTTTTTGCCACTGGACCATGTCGGTCACTATATTAAATAATCTCGTACTGCGGATTATAATATTGGAAGTAACAGGGGCTTCAGACCAATTAGTCCAATAGTTGAAACTCATATTTTGGATTACTATGGGATTACTCAAGATTTCTTCGGTTTCCGCCGGTTTCTGGCCGGTAATTTGCAATGAATCCAAAGAGCATCGATCGTTCCATAAAGTGCGTAGACTTTTCGTCGCAAAACTTTTTGCACTGTGCAGTTTAAATTTCGCCGCGAAAAGCTTTTTCAACTACGTCGCGCGACAACAATTGCACCGTGCAAAAAGAAGAAAAATGCACTGTGCGTCGCAAAAAAGTCTACGGTCCGTTCGCAAAGTCGCTGTGGTGATTTTCGCGACATGCACTGTGCGAAAACAAAAGTTCACTTCGCACTGTGCATTTTTTTGTTGTTTGCACCGTGCAAAAAAAAGAAGACAAATGCACTGTGCGCCGCGAAAAATTCTACGGTCCGTTCGCAAAGTCGCTGGAGTGTTTTGGCGACATGAAAAAACAAGTTCACTTCGCACTGTGCAATTTGTTGCTTTTTGCACCGTGCAACAGACTTTTTCGGGCTGTCGCTCGTACCTGACATTTTCTGCACAGTGCAAACGCCAAAAATCAGCCCAGCGACCTTGCGAACGGACTGCTACGGGTTGTTTTGCAGTTCCCAGTTCTGGACAGATGTCTCAGCGACACTTTTTGATATCAAATTCGGCATGCATTTGACCTCTGTTCCGGCCTCTTTGAGGGCCTCGTTTCCGGGTTTCGAAAACAATAAAAACTCAAATTTCGAAAATTGGAAAAACTTGTCGGCACATCGGTCGAATAAATTTGCGGGAATTAAGAGTGGGAAAACATCGTTTTCCATACCCAGAACAAAGATAAATTAATTTTGTTTTTTCGGTAATTATCATATTTAGAGTGCGAAAAACGGCGGAATAAATGGAATACCCAATAAAAGCATTGTAAACACAAGGAATATTATGCGATATTCAAGGAAATTTCAAGGACTTTTTCTATTTCATAGTTCATCCTCTAACTTTTTTGAAATAAAAAAATGATCTTTTGGTCCCACCACGAAAACCTGAATACTCAATAAATGATTTGAAGATGCCAACTAAAGCATGTGCACACTTTGAAACCAATTAAAAACTGAAAACTATTCGCATATTCCAAAATCAAGATTTTCGATTTTCGGTCCCACCACGAAAACCTGCCAAAATTAAAGTTAAAAACCAAAAATTCCCCTACTCAAGTTTTGCTAAGCAATCTCTACAAAGATCTCTAAATATCAACCTTATTTTTGACACAAAAATTATCATCTTTTGGTCCCACCACGAAAACCTGCAGTTCCAAAATTGATGTTTATAACCAAAAATTCCCTTATTGAAGTTTTGGCAAGCATCTCTACAAAGATCTCTAAATATCGGCCTTATTTTGACATAAAAATTATCGCTTTCCGGTCCCGCCACGAAAGTCCGCAACCTCCAAAAACAATTTCCAAATCCTTCCAAAACACGGATCCTTGCAAATACTCACCCAATTACCTCCAATTCAGGTGAAATATAGCGCAAAATAGTCTTGTAACAATGTGTTTTTACTCCCGCATAACGGGAAATAATCCGGACCCTGAACTCTGACGTCGGCCATAAAATGTCTTCATTTTGGGGCCCTCAAAAACGCAATTTGGACAACGTTTTATGGGCGGAAGTTTGAGGATGGAATGCCTGCAGGCAGGATCGTATCCGTAAAAAGATAATGGGGCCGAATATTAAGATTACTCGGCGGTTTATGGGCTAATAAACGGAGAGCAAAGATTCGACGTTTTCTTGGACGGATTTTTTGATAAAAATTGGCACAAATTTAGATTTTAATTTTAAAAAACCTAAATTTTCTATCCAAAAATAGCATTTTCTCTCTGTCCTTATCCTATAATCAACTACCAATCAGCGTTTTATTTACATTTATCCCACGTTTCAATTGCTTACAACTTGAAAATTCAAAAAAAAAAACCAAATCAAAAAAAAACCAACAAAAAAGTCGAAAAATCAAGGTTACAATCAAGTGGAAAAAAAACTAAAAAAGTACGTTTTCTTAAGAATTACAACATAATTTGGGGGTAATCCATATTCAAAATCAAAAGTTTAATGGCAGGATTCAGTTGTCTACAGTAAGATGGCTACAAAAATAAGGTGAGAAATGGGAGATTCGACGGAAAAATGAGGTCTTTTTTTGTTATAGGGTGTCCATTCGGTCATCGTGGTATCGGTTTATGCTTCCTTGGTCGGCGAAGACCTTCTGTTCCGTTACAGCGTCCACATAAAGTTGGGCGTAATCGGCGGGGAGACCGCAAGTTTTGCCCATTCTTCGGGCGCAGGAGAGGTGAACATAGACATTGCAATCTGAAAAAATCCAAAATTAATGACTTGAAAAAAAAATTTTTTGCCTGAAAAACGAAATACGATAAGTTAGTAAGTCGTCCAGAAAGTTCTTTCGTTTTTTCATTGCTTTGTTTTACAAGGATTGTTTGTTCTTTGGCAAATGGAATATATTTATTTGATACAGCTTTTTCTCCTCTACAAAACTGGGTGTATCAAATAAATGTATAACCTTTGCCAAACGACAAACAATCCTCGTAAAAAAAAGCAATGAAAAAAAACGAACGAACTTTCTGGACGACCTAATAACTTATTGCATTATTTCTTTAAAAAAATCTAAAATTTGATGAGCCAAAATCTCTTACCTCTACACTTCATGGCTGTAGAAACTCCCGGCAAGTTCTCTCTGCACCGTGCACATTCGTAGCTCTTCTTCTGCATGGCCATCCAGACTCTCTTGAATCGGTGTGCTATTTCGTGCCTCATCATTCCGTATCTCATCGGTTGTTTCTCTTCTTCTTCAGCATGATGGACTTCCGGATGATTTTCTTTCGTCTCCATGATGTCTTGAGTGTAGCATGAAGCGTCGTCCGACTCTGAGTGAGCTGGATTCATTCTCCTTTCGTACATGGCTTTCCAGTACAACATGGTCTCCTCGAGTTTGGAAAGTCGTTGCCGGAGTTCATGGATATCTTCTTCTCGGTCTTCCTGAAAAATTAGACAATGCTATAAATTATAATTTTAATTTTTCAGTCGATATTACACTAGGTCCTTCTAGTACAACATAAATTGCTTGAACAAAAAACTCAACAACCCAAATGGCTGAAGATTCCTCACCCACAATCTAGATAAGCTATTTATTCACTGTCAAAAATCATAACTCTTAAGAACTAAGTTCCGCCGAGATATACGACATTTTTCCCAGATACCTATAGGCATCCAAACCCAAAAAAAACTGTCCAAACTATCAAAAATGCAGTCCATAATTTTCACAGACCCTTTAGCAAGCCCCAATTCCCCTCTACCCGCCGTTTAATCCAGATCCATTAACATCCGCATAAGCTATAATCAAAAACTTATATTACACTAGACCCACTAACAAAGAATGCCTCAAATCCCTATTAAATCAAATTTTTTTCTTACCAGCTGACTGTAGACTCGCTCCAGCTCCTTTTCCTTCTCTGCTTTTTCAGTTTTCATCTGGCTGAGCTCTTCGTTTCTGGCCTGGAGCTTAATTATACACTCATTGAGAGCATTTGCGGCTTCCACGGTCTTTCTCTTCAGGTCTCCTTCCATCGACGAGGCTTCTTTCTAAAATCAAATCTATTATTCGCCATACTCTAAAAATTTCAAGTCAAAATCATCAAAGCCAATAAAAAATTCAAAAAATTTTATATTATCCATGGCAAATCTCCATAAAATAAAAAAGTCTCACCTCTCGTTTCAAGTTCTCAAGTTCAATGGTCTTTTCCTTGAGTAACTTTCTTTCTGTCGCCAGCTCTTGCTCCAGTTGCTTTTTCTGATTCTCAATGAACATATTGAGCTTCTCTTCGACCGGTTTTCTTGCACTTGGACCGATATTTTCCTTCTGCGCCAAGGCTAATTTCTTGGTGAGGTCGGCCAATTCTCCGCGGTAGTCCACATGGAGGGTCTTGATCTCTCTCTGAAACCCAATAATTCCAAAATTTAAAACAAATTTTATATTATCCCACCTCCATGAAGATGACTTTATCTTTGGCTCTTCCCAACTCCTCTTTCAATCGCTGCACCTCGACCTGTTGGATGTCAGCATTTGTGGCCTTTCTGCGCAATTCGGCAATCTCATTCGTCTTGTCATGGCACTTCTTTTTGTATGTTTCAAGCTCATCGGCCAAAAATTGGACTTGATTCTAAAATTAGCCGATAAAAAAGTAAACTACAAAACTACAACTTCAATCAATCTTTTTGAATACCTTGAGCTTCCTCGGGTTTCATAACAATCCATAAACACTCAAATTAACCAATAAAAACTCAAAAATTTCAAAATTTTACCTAGTGCAGTATAATTTTTGCGAAAAATGCCTGTTAACTCGATATAAACAAACTCGCTGGTTTCAAACAAGACTTAAAATATCATACAGGGCTTCTATATTAATCTTAACCCAAAAATCCTTCCAAAACCAGCAAAAAAAATATAAGGATATATAACACATCTACTACAATACAGGGTGTCCAGAGAAATTCCGCGGAAAGTGTTTGCCGATTTCTCGGCGCTTAGGCAAGATATAAAAAAAAATCTTTTTGCATTAGAAAGAAGACTATGGGCGGTTTTTTGTCTAAAAAAGTTTTTTGTCCGCCGACTCGGAGCATACTGTATTCGGCGGAGACTTTTGGTAGCTTTTTTGGTCATCACACCAATCTTAAACGCTTTACTATGATCCTGAAACTATCGGGAAGCCTTCAGTTTTTTCCACAGAGGATCAGGGGACCGACGCCAACGCTATGCAATCGCATTTAGCGACTGAACCGCACTGTGTAGTTGCGTCAACAGCGATGAAGTCCGACCGCATCGTGCGGAGGTTTGAAACACCGGGGCAAAGAGAAGTTCAAACAAAAAATATCTTGTTGTTTTCTGGTACACCAAGTCGTTTACTGATGGCTAAGCTGCTGCCAAGGCTTGGCGACAAAATTTTGGAGAGCATATGGGATCAGCAAAGAATGCTAGCCACATAATGTTTGGGACATCTCCTATCCAAAGCTGAGTTGTGGCCTCCGCCGATACGGAAAGCTCGCCATTCCATTGCCGAACGTTTGGTAAACATAAAAATAAGATAACATTCTCTTTTTAACCCTCAGAAGTCGTACTGAAGCTTTTAAGATTGGTGTGATGACCAAAAAAGCTACCAAAAGTCTCCGCCGAATACAGTATGTTCCGCGTCGGCGGACAAAAAAACTTTTTTAGACAAAAAACCGCCCATATTCTTCTTTCTAATGCAACAAGAATTTTTTGGATATCTTGACTGAGCTCCGAGAAATCGGCAAACACTTTCCGCGGAATTTCTCTGGACACCCTGTATAACAAAAAATGTCCAAAAAGTTCCCAAACACCCTCTCAAAAATCACTTACCGCCAATTCATCACACTGTTTATCCTGTTGTTTGACAAATTCCTTCAATTTCGTTGTCTGATCTTCCGCTTTGGCCACAATAGCCCCCAATTTTGCGGCTTCTCCCTTGAACTCGGCTTCGACTTTCTCCAACTTTTCTTTCAGCTCCTTCTCCGTTCTCTTAGCCTCATCTCTGTCGGCGATTGCCGCGTGTCTCAGCTTCTTCTCGATTTCCAAATCCTTCTCAAAATTCGCGATCCTCTGCGTGCATTCCCCGTGTTCCCTCTGCAAATCATGAAGGTCTCTTTCGGCCGCCACAAGGTCCGATTTGCACTTCAAAAACTCGCAACGCAGCTTGGCCTTCTGTTGCTTCACCAGGCTGATCTCATTGCCCAAAATTTTGTGCACCTCGTCCATAGAATGACCTTGTTCTTCCAGTTCTTTGCTCAAATTCTTGGAACTTGCTCGGAATTCCTCCAATTCTTCCATACTTGAGTGGAGCGCCGTTTCCAGCGTGGTGCATCGTTGTCGGCAGAGCTCGAGTTCGGTGGTCAGCTGTTTGGAAAGGGCGTTTTGAGCTTCAACCGTCGTTTGGAGACTTCCCATCATCTAAAGTAATATAAAATAAGGTAAATCTTGAAAATATCAGTAAAAATTTTAATTTCCTTTTCTTTAAACCACTTTGTTTTTCCCCAATCTACTCTTTGAGATCTAAAAATACCATTAAACCTTCCAAAAATCCATTTATTTACCACATAATATAAATTTTTCAAGATCTCCCAAAAATTCTCAACTTATGTCCTCCAAAAAAGCAAATTATAACCTAAAACACAATTTCACTGTATAAAAACGACATACATTGGTCTCTGAGAACCCATGCCTTCCACTCTCCATCTCAATACACTTGGTTTTGTAGGCTTCGCACTGCTTTTTGTACTGTTCCAGTTGTGTTGTCAGTCGATGGTTTTCGTCCGTTCGCTGAAAATTTCAAAATCATTTCCAAATCCAACCGAAAACCCGAACATTTTACAGAAATTTTTTGAATTTTCGAAAAAAGTTAGTATGCCAAGCAAAATCATGCAGAAAAATTGCAAAAACAGGTAAACTACTATGCAATTTCCGCTGAAATTACTGCAAGACACCTCTACGTAAAGCTTGCAGATATGATACCTTGATTTGGTCTTTTTTCTGCATCAAGAAAAATTTTTTCCATCTTATACCTACTTTGAACACCCATCGAACAAATTTAATCAAATGGCAGCAGAAAATATAGATGATTCCGCATAGTTTTAGCAAAATCAGGACTAAAACCATCCCCTTTCAGTAGAATACAATGCCTTTCTACCAAAAAACAGCGCGGTCCGTCCGAAAAAAGTGATTTATCTTCACCTTGGCCACCAAAAAAGAGGGGCGACCAAAACAATGTCGCAAGACCCCGAAAATTGTCGCATGACCTAAACAGCGAACAAAAAATGCAAATTGACTCACAGTCTGAAGGCGATGTTGAAGTTCGCCGACTTTTTTCTTCAGTTCCAGTATCTCCTTGGATTCAGGCGATTTTTGGTCAGAAGTCAGTTTCCGTGCCATTTGTTCGCTCTTGAACTCGGCCAAGAGTTTGTTTTTCTGCGCAAGCTCCTTTCGCAGTTTGTCCACCTCGTGTGTGAATTCCCGGTTCTGACGATTCTGAAAGGGCAAAATTTGCATAAATTATCGGAATTCCGTTTTTTGAGGAAAACATAAAAAGGTGATGAGAATATGAGTCAATGGAGCTTCCTATGTTGTGTTTGGCCAATGATGAAAGTATAAACGGTAGGAGAGCAGACCAAAAGCTCGTAAAGTTAAATCGTAGCAGTTAGGGGTCTAGTACAATATAAGGCCCAAAAATCAGAAATAAACTAAGAATCCAGATCTTAAAAGATCGGATGAGAAGTAATTTACCTCTCCTATCGTTTTTAATGCATAAACAAATTTAAGCCAGGACCTATCGAACGAAATTCTTCGCCGCCACTACCTAGTACAATAAACTTACGTTGATTTCATTTTTATTCCTCTCCTCGATGAAGTTACTTGTGGCACTTCTCTCTTTCTGGGCAATTTCTCTCACTAGATCCCTAAACACCGAATAAAACAAGAAGAAAAACGACTTACTCAAGCTCTTTTACTTCTCGATCCAAGTGAGTTGTCTCAAAATTACTGATTCTTCGATGAAACGCTTCCAACTCCTTGATGGGAGTTTCGGCCATCGTCGCCTGAATGCGTATAACACCTATTGTCTTCGTCAAGAGCGTTTTCGACTCCTTTCTTATTTTTTCGCGATTTTCGGCGCTTTATTTGTTTGAACGGAGTTTTTGGCGGGGCTTTGTTTTCGTGGTGGGACTAAATTTAGGGTGCTGTGTTGTGGAAATATTGGCGTATTTTAGTCGACACTGAGAGAAAGTGACAGAAAGAAGTATTGTAAAACTATTTTTGAACAATTTTTGACACAAAAATTAAGATTTTGGGAGAACCTTTGTAAAATCACTCTACGATATTACACTTGATCAAAGGTGATATATGTGCACAAATATTCCGCTCATTTCATGTTGAAGTCGTCTCCGCATTTTTTTACTTTTTAAATTACATTCCAAATATTAAGAAATTATTTTATTTGAGCATTAAATGTCAAGTGTAATATACAGTACCCGTCAAGTGAATGGCATTGGATTAGAACCCGCACTGGAGATCGTCCTCGTCCTTAAAACTGTAGTTAACGGTGCCGGTGGAGGTGAGCTTCTTGTGTGAAAGGCTCAGAGATCTTCGGCTGGCGTCGACGCTCCGGAAATCTCCTCGATCTGGATCGATGGCTGAAATCGGGCGGCATAAGTTCGGGGGGAAATTGAAACCTACCACTATTTGGACGCGAGGCGGAAACGGACTCTCGTCGTCGTCCATTTGTTGTAGAATTACTACTGGCAGATTCGGAGGTGGAGCGCCGCCGATGGAGCCGCGCGGCAGCAGAAACGTGGTGGTCGTGGACTCGAGGCCCGACCGCTTTCGGCTCGGCCCCCAACGAGCGGTTGGAGCGTCGTTGGGGCCGGGCGGGCTTGAGGCTTCCTCCGCGCCCCACATCCCGCTCCAGCAACATAACACGGTCTTCCTGCAAGGAGAAATGCTTTAGTAATTTTAGGGCAAAGTAGAAGCAATTTTTTCAGCGCTCATCTATCTGCAAGTTTAGTTTTTTTTGTAAGTTTTTTGATGATAAAACAAAAAAACTGATCAATACTCAAAAATACATGTAAGACGACATCTAAAATTTCATGTACATCAATGTCTAGGACACTTTTTTTTACATCCATTACATATAAACCTCCTAAAATTGCATGACAATCCAAAAAATCTCGAAAAACGAAGATCTTCAAAAAATCAAGAAATCTTGATTTTGGATCTCCAATTGTCATGCAATCTTAGGTCTTGACAAATTTAAAGCCAATCTATATATCATCCATATATTTTTTGTGGACTGGGGAACCAAAATTTGTATTTTTTCAATTTTAAGTCATCAAAAATCTCGAAAATCATTCTCTCAATTTTTTGGCCTCCCATTCCACAGTGTCTCCAACTCTGGTCCAAAAAACACTTAAATTACGCCTCTAAGCTGTCTACATGAACATTAAATAAATTTACAACCAACTGATAACGCGTCATTCGAAGCCCACCGCATCTCTGATCCGATGAAGAGTCCTGCTGTCCACGGCATGAAAAAACAGAGAGAACGGGGAAAATATAGAGGCACACAGTGTGCGGACAGCAAAAGTGAGGTGTTGGTACAGTGTACTGACAGTGTTTTTAGTGGTGCATAGAGTTACAGAAAATTGAAAACAGAGTTACACACTCAACTTCGAAAAAATTGGTGAGTGAAGGACAAGTGATTACAATGTTATAACAATCGTTATTACGTTGTGGTTTTCGTTGAAGAAAGTGGTGGAAACTTATAACTGAATAGGGAAACGATAGCTAAACCATGCCAAAAGATGGTTCGACTTCTCGGGCTCATGCTAAGGCAGAAAAGTTCGTGGAATTGTTTGATGGTCTTCTGCATGACATATTTCGCTATACCGGGCAATTTATGGACCTCAAACTGTTTTTTTTTGCCTAAACAGGTCCAAAACTAATGCCTATCGGCTTAGTCAAGTTAACACCACCTGATATGACACAAAAACTTCATACTCAAAGATTCAAGCCCTAAAATTGTCATCACTCAAACTAAACCCATTCATATCACCGCAAACAGCCGAGTGCGTTGGTTAAAAAGAAATAGTCGGAAAGAAGATAGAAAGAAGCGACTCAGAAGGTCGTTAATCTCACCGTGCCGTGATCAACAAAACCCTCATCGGACCATCGCGTGTTCTCCGACGATTCAACCGCCCCGTACTTTGTGGAGGTTAGAGTTGACTGAACCAGTCTCGTCCCATCGTCCAGTCCGCCATTTGGCTGTGATGAGAAAGCCGAAGCCATGGAACTGATGGAATTCCTAGGCCCAGTCTTCAGGAATCCAGGGGCCAGCCAGCCATTCCGGGGCGTCGTACAGCCCGAGGGAAGACTCGACTGGTCGACATTTCCGTTGGGCGTGAGGAGAGTTGAAGGCCGGGGTTTACAGGACTGAGCCATTGGGTGTGGCTCCTCTTCTTTGTACAGATATTCTTTGATACAGACGGGCATCAGTTGAATAAATGCGGCGCGGAGTTGGAGGTTCATCATCGCGTAAAGGAGAGGATTCCAGACCTGGAATGAGACGTTAAAGTTACGATTGTGCTTGAATATGAAGTTAGCCTTGGCTTAATAGACACTAGGTCACTAAGACAGTCCTTTGTAGCCCGTTTTTTTATAAGTTCCTTTGTCATTTCCTGACTTCAAAACTGCCGTAAATCAAATCAAAATACGCCCAACGTTGATATCAAAAAGTTTCATAGAGCCGTAAAAAGACCTTTTTTATGTAATTTACATAGCTTTATGATATAGGAAAGGCCTCAAAATTTATCCTAAACAAATGATATCTTTTGAGACCTTACTAGACTTCCCCTCTCTCTAATAAATCCAGTCTAATAGCCTCTACTTACGGTTGAAGTCATGGCAATGCAATGAAGAGAGATTCCAACGATATATTCTTTCTCCATTACATACGATGGCAGTAGTTCGTAGTCCTTGAAGACGTTGAACACAACACTCCACACCCAGCTAAGTGAGAAAGCGACCACCATCGCGATGAACATCCGATTGGTGCGTTGACGTCGCTTGGTCGCCGCTCGATGTTGATCGTTCATTTGGAGTTGCCACTGGTAGTCGCGTTTCTTCCCTTTCAAGATCATACTCTGCAAATTATAAAGATTGTCATTCAAACCAAATAAGAGTAAAATTCGCAATTATCATCCAAGAATATAAGAAAGTCCTTACCTGCCCCAACCTCACTGATATGGCGGTGTAACAAATGATGATAATTGACAGTGGAATGATGAACTGAACCGACAACACAATAGTTCCATAAGCCCTTCGTTGACTTGAATACGGCCCCCAATCCTCGAAACAATACATCCCGCAGTAGTTGTTGATCTTTGTGAGCGTATGCATCAACGCGACAGGCATTGAAAGGCCCATTGCCATGGTACAGATCAACTAAAAAACAGGTTCTAATGCGTCAGAGGCTTGATTGAAAAATCTCGAAAAACAGGAAATTTTGAGACACTTTTATATTATTTTTTTGTGTTGTTGGTCCTGTCGAGAACATGTTCAAATTGACTTACACAAATTATCATAAATGCCTGTGTATGGCTGAACGGTTTTTTCATCGGAAATCGGATTAACATGAACCTGTCGATGGATATTGCTGCTAATGTGAAGGTGGAAAATGACAATGATGTACCCTGAAATCATTTTTCAATTCGTATTTTACTCTTAATTTCTTTTTTTTCTATTTTTTCCATTTTTTTTGCAAATTTTGCACATTTTCCTCCAAAATGACGTGTATTTTGCTATTATACTTTTGCCAATTTCCCATTTAATCATGTCCAATTCGCAACAAGCATGTCATGCTCAATGTGCCTCGGTCTCCTCTTGAATCCGCTTGTTTTTCAATTTACTCCGATTTCGCCGTTAATTAGTAATTTTTTCGATTTCCATGAGATTCCCGAGTTCCGGATGATCCCCGGGGAAAAGTTTTAATGGACAAAGAATTCAGAGGATGTCTTATTAGATTAGAACGGTAATTTTATGTCTAGGAAACGACAATGAGACTACGCCCTCGGGGAATTTTGAAGGAGGTGTATTGTAAGTTGGAAGTAGATGGTTACAAATTATATTAAATATTATATTTTTCAGTATTTTCAAAAGTCCATGAGCATTTTTTCGTGCACAAAAGCTCTATTTTGCACCGTGCATTTATACATTTTTAGGGTTAGCTGTAGATTGAACAGTGCAAAAGTATTATTTTTGGCTTGCACTGTGCGAAAAAAGCGTTGGCGAAAAGCGTGTTAAAAAGTCCAAAATGTACCGTGCGAAGGAGAGAAAATGTCCATGCACTTTATGAAAATACTAATATACATGAGACAGCATGAGATTAGTGTAATAGCGACTACAAAATGTAAAGTGTTCTTTGTTTTAAAGTATAAATTAAAGATTTATAGACAGATTATGTTATGCATTGTAAATAGTGCAGAATAAATAGAGCCAGTAGAAAAAAGTCATCAAAAATTGGAAACATAACTATTGGCAAAATTCGAAATGACAAAAAAAATTGACTTGTCAGATCCTCTTCAAATTTTTTATGAATGCTAAAAATATCCCTTTAATTAATGCATGAAAATTTTAGCACATGGTTTGCTAAGACAGCCGAGATATTTATTAAAGTATGTTTGCAAAAGAGAGACTATGGAATTTGAGGATAGACGTGTAAAACTTTGGCCTTTTCTCTGAGAATTTTGGAAAAAAAACATCTTTGTTCTAAAGCAAATTCTTGAAGGTACCTGTTTTCTCCTAAAACCTATTTTCCTCCTCCATTTTTGGTCTTTGTACCCCATTGTTGTGTACGTATTCCCACAGTCTGCAGGTTCTCAACCAAAAATCCTTTTCCTACAACTCCGCTCACAATTGTTGATATTTTGGGAAAGCGGTTATGACAGGGTTCCTTTGTCCGGCTTCCTTCAGGGCCCCTTTCTTCCGAGAAACTGCCTTCGCCGGAATCTAACGTTGAAACCTTGAATGGAGGTGAGGGATTTTGGAGGGGCCCGGTAACTCGATTTGCAACTCTTTTCGCAGCGCACAGAACAAAGAATGTTCGAAAAATTGGATTTAACAATGGATGAGCAAGTATTCAGAGAGGAAATTTTGAATTAAAAAATGTAAAATACGGTCAAATCATTATAAAAAATCAAAAAAAAATATCTCAAAAAATTTCATTTTCATAGAGAAAATATAAATTTATGCACTTTTCATAAGATTTTTTGTTATTTTCGGTAATTTCCTCTTTATAAAAAGCATTACTTGACCTAGAATCGCCCTCAAAGTCCGCTAGCACTCTTCACGGGCAAATTCCCCTCAGGCTGTTGTCCCAGGACGATAAGAAGAGCTGCTAATTTAAATTTTGAGTGCAACCTTAAGGACAATTTTAGGGCATTTCCTTTTTCAATTAACTTACCGCTAGGAAAGGCGCCACCGAACACAGCACCGACCCAAAAAGCCAAACCTTGGCGAACGCCGTGATCGGTGTAATCGTCGCCGATGTGAGACATACCATAAAGTCTGAGCATGACAAGGAGAAAATGAACATGTTGGGGACTGTTTGGAGGGATCTGAAAATTTGGAGTTAGTCAGGATTTGTGTGATTTTGGAATGTGAGGTTTTTCGATGACATTTTTGGGTTTGTAATGAACAATGAAGTGTTAAAAGTTGGTACAGTGGGGACTGATCCAGTGGCAAAAAACGTACCATTTTGCATCCGGGATGTATCAAAAATGTGGCAAAATGCTTCCCTCTCCAAGTGAAAAACTTCGTTTTGAAGGTCTTTCACAAAAAGAGCTGGTGCGCTTTTGAAATCGGAATTTTTTCTTGTGGAGAGGGAAGCATTTTGCCACATTTTTCATACATCAAGGATAAAAATGGTACGGTTTTTGCCACTGGATCAGGTCCCCCATAACAGGTCGGATTTTGATCAAACACGGTTCAATTTAAGACTAGCCCTTTCTAGGACATGTTTGAGACTTTTTGCCTGCGTTTTGCAAAAAGTTTTGAGGTCGGAAGCTCCGGAAAAATTGTTTCTTTTTTACGAGTTTTCGCATTTTTTTCCGCAATATCTCAGCTGTAAATTGTTCGTTATCTCAGCTGTAGAAGGCGAGTTGATATTCTCGCAATTTGAAATCCGTGCCAGATAAAACTATGGCATGCTGATTACTGTGTTTTCTATCATCGTCATGTTTTCTCCGGCTTCACTTTTTTTTCCCATCCCTCAATAATTTTCGTCTCCTTCAACCCTTGTTCGGTCTATTTGCAATTCGTTTGCTCCATAATTAGGCTTGCGACTTTACAAATTACTTTGAGACAAAAACAAAAAACAATCGCATCACACTTAATTAGAGGATGTTGCAATGATATCACGCCAAATCTTAAATTTCAATTGTTATTCACGAAGACTTAGCTGATTATGGTCGTATCTTAATAATAGATGACTTTATGACCGTAGCCCTTTTCTATGGATTCTTGTCTTTCCCGCGTTTAACAATATGTATATTTTTGTCTACGTGCCCTAGCGTTCTAAAATTAATACTCGGCTTGCACGTGTCATGCGTAAAGTGACATTCTGTCCATCCGCTGTTCATATTGCATGTTATGCATTCGAAATGTTACATGCTGGTTTGGGTTATTATAGTCGAACTAATAACGTGTCAAAGGCTGCCAGAACAAGCAAAAAAACGTGAAAAATGAATTTTTTATTTTACTTTTTTAACAATATGCATACTGAGAAGAGCTTTGGGGTAGGATACATATTATACCGAGAATTCGGAGGCCCGCGATTTCCTAATTCTTTTGTTACAGAGCGCCGATTACGAAGACTTTTGGGTTGGCGGAGGCGACCCAACAAAACGCGAGCCAAAATTTCCTGGGATCGATACATAAACTGCACTTTGACAGAGTGTTATCCACCTTTAAATTGTATTCAGCCTGTCGTCAATAACGCCAGACTTCTCACTCATGCCTTCTCGTACCGAATTTATCCGCATTGACATGTATAATATTCTTGAGAATTCTTAATTTTTGTCTGATGCGGAAGCGAGAATAATTGGCTTAGCGATGTCTTGATAACAATGATGACTAAAGACGACCTCTTACGTTCGGGATAATCTGTTACGGCGCAGGCTCGTCATAACAGGAGTTCGCTATTACAGCAAACTCATCGCAACCTCAACTCCTCGGAAAAGAAGAGAGGAGAATCAGTGTGTCGGTCCCCGTTTTTGGGAAGGGGACCGAGCGCTCCGATCTCAGGAAAAGGGTGCGATGAGGGAGTTTTTAAGGGTAATTGTATAATTGTTTTATATCTTATGTATCTTTTATTCAGTACCAATAAATGTAGTAGATAAATTGTAATGTAGGTAATTATTACCCTTAGGGGATAAACGGCAGGGTCAGGCCCCGAACTCGGTAAGTAAGTATCATATATAATTTAATGTACAGTACCCCCTCCGCTACACCAGCCGGGGCTGTAACAAATCGCCGAAACGGCATAAAAAACATGGTCAAGAAGCTGTGGAAATATTAAGGTGGACTAACAATAAGACAGCGATTTTTAAGGTGTTAGAAGGTAAAATATACATAATAATACAAGAATTTGCTACGAAACAGTCTTGATTTACTATAGTTTTAGAAGAGCTGTAATCAATTTGCTAGCCATTTTGGCTCTTTAAATAGACTTGCTTGATACTAAAGTACGATTTCCTTGATTAGTCATCAAACTCGGGATTTTGCCGGTAGTGCTTAGCTAAACCCCTGCGGACAAGAACACTGATGTCATGTGCAAACTCCTCTTCTCCCCCTCAACCGCCGAAATCCCTAATGGGAAGTGAAAGTGGCAGTTATCGATAAATAATTCAGCCGAGTTCACAAATTGTTGCCTACGCTTCCAAAAGACACGAAAATTGAAAACACGGAAACGCTGTGGTAATTGGAGAAAATACTATGGGAAATGAGGAGAGACGACCAAAGGAAGGTTGCAGGAAGACCGCTAAAGTGCTTGGCGAATTTTATTTTTGGCGATGTCACGTAGAGTAAGCTAATGTATGTGAGATTTGAATATCGGAAGCATAAGATTACGGTGGAGGAAAGGAAATTGAAGCTTATATCGTGTTTTAAGGAAGTCTCGAGAAGCAGCAGAGAGTGGCGTTTTTGAACTCTTGAGAGATTATAATGTCGGGATCATCTTTACTTTTCCTCTGTACATAATAGATCATGAGAAACGGAAGAGTGAAAGAACTCTGGCTAAAGACATTTTACAGGAAATTAGCCAAAATGCACGTCAAACAGCTCCTTCAAATTTTGCCAGCCTTATCTGGCTTTGTTTTGCAACCGTTTCAGAGAAATTGAACGATCGTTGTAGATGTGGGACTATGAAAAATGAGGAAAAGGAGTAGAGTAAAAGTTTCATCGTTGATAAATATGCAAGTTCTGAGCAAAAAATAGATTTTTTGTTGAAAAAATAAACCGAAATTTTTAATCAGAAGATCGAGCTGTTGCTCAGTCAAAAATGCTAAATTTTCGGGATTTTTTGGGTCTAAGAACCTCTGTGATTTTTGTAGAACACTGACTAAATATCTCACATATCTCTTCGATTTTTCGCCATGAACATTAAAGAAATTTTCACAAAAATTTCATTTTTGTCAGCCACCGATTTTTTGATGACTATAAATTCGAAAAAATTCGAAAAAATCAAAATTCGACCAATAATAAAGTCATATCACTCAAAACCCCCAACTCACTTCGTCCTTGAGATGGCCAATATCACACACAAGTTACCGAGGCAGCCGCAAATGATGATCAGCGAGTAGAAGAAGGCGAACAAGGCCCAGACCCAGAGCTGCGTGGTAGGGTCCCTGCGCAGGACCCATAGCTGTTCGTTGACGGAGGAGCACGCTTCTATGGAGTTATTTGCCTCCAGCATTTGGCCCGCCTTCGGACAGGCGGTGGGGTAAGAGGGGAACGCTGGAATTGGGAATTTAGATGATGAAAATGCGTAGTGACAAAGGATTAAAAATTAAAATCGCGATGAAATTGAAGGAAACTTAAAAACCAGCAAAAATCAAAAAATTAAAAAATCAATTTTTCAAAAAATTCCGACAAAAAACAAAAAAACTTTTGCCAAAAGGTGGCCAAAATGGTCTCCAAAAAAGACAAAAAAATTAGAAAATGACAAAAGTCTGACCTTGAAAATAAGACTAGACTGGAGGAAGTATAAGAAAAGTACATCCAATATCCGCCCAAGGGCGTTGGAAGGTCTTTTGGAAGTCCTACAAGTAATAACTCCGTTCCCGGAATGCAAGATACATATAACAAAAAAAATGGAAATCCCACATTTCCAAGTCATTGACAAGATAATGAGATGCCAAAAAAGTAACCCTAAATTACAATTTTTCTGCCGCAAGTAGACTCTGCATAATTTTTCAGCGAAAATAACGACTGTCATAAGTCTGCAGAAGTGGTGACTGTACAGCTAAAAGTCAGACTTATATAATAATGAAGAGGGGAGAAGTTACCGGAAATCCCGTTAAATCTCAATTAGCCCATCAATATCCGTTGTAAAAGTACATTCAAAATATTAAAAATGATGTGTACTAGTCAGATAAGAATAAAAAATTTGGATATATTAGAAGAGCTGAATTTGATTGGCACTAATTTAGACTGATTTTTTAAAGAAATATGCAAGATTTTTGGGAGAAAAGTTTGGCAAGAGTGTGCCAATTTTTTTGCAAATTTCAGCCTGAAAAATTGCATAAGTATTTCTATCGAAGATACTTTTCTGCAAGAAATTACGCGTTTTCAACGACAGGCTGAAAAATCTACTAAAAACTACTGGTATATACCCTTTTAAAGTCTGTCGGGAAAATAATGAAAACATTGTTGCTGCGCCGATCACGTGGCTAAATCTAAAAGCAGTTTGATTTTTCCGCGGCACATTTCTTTTTCTCAGCGGTGATGCAATTTTCGATGCAACAGAAGGCTCATTATTTTCCCGACAGACTGATATCTTGCCTGTCTAAGGCGCGAAGCATTCGTTAGCAGTTCAATTATCGCAAGAAGCTCAAGCTAGATGGCAAAGCGCTTACCATTTTAAATTTTCTCCTGAAAAACCCTACAGTTTCTGAAATGTGCAAAGTAAAAAATTTTGAGCATCCCTCTGAAGACTCTAGTCTAAATTTTCGTTAAATTCCAGAAAAATCAATGCACCGCAATTATCATAATTTTCTATGCCATAAAAACTGCTCTATTACAAACATACTGCAGCCTTATTTTTAGAGAAAATACACATTTGTAAGTTGCAGGTTGTGCCAGTCGAAAACAGAGGACGATTGTCAGAAAATGCTCTACACGTGCCCCAATTTTCGTTTTTTACCCGGCCCAAAAAAATCTGGCCCTTCTTCGCGTGTGTGCCCTCGGGGTCTCTAATGGACAGCGAATTGGATGAAACTGAAAAAAACAGGGAAATAATGTTTTTAGAACGGGAAAAGTAACCTGATTAGCGTCATTTGGGGCAGAGAGGAGTACAACTGGAACATTGGTTGTGTCAAATTGAGAGTTCAGACGGATGGGATGTCCGATGATAAGGATAATCAAGGAAATGGTTAGAAAATTAAGAAAAGAGCGGATAGATCAATAGGGTCAGAAAGAGAAATGTACTATATGATATGTAAATAAAAGTATTATAATTGACTGAAAGTGTAATCGGATGCGTAAAGAAGCCTTATTAACCTTTCGAAACCTTCCAAAACTGATCTTGGTGTACTGCCCGAACTGTTTCAACCAATAAGCTCAAAAAATGCGATAAAAGCTAGTCAACATTTAGTATTACAAAATGCAAAAAAAAATAACAAAAGAATCTTTATTTGAAAAGTAAATTTCCAATGAAGGGCGTTGCGACACCTGCGGGCTACCGCTTTGAGGGCAGCCAACATCAGAATTACGAGTTTTCTCCTGTAATCTACGTAGTTTGATAGAAATTTTGCATTGACAACTCCCTGCTACTGATAATCAAACGAATCTGTTAAATTCATCCGCCACTTTTAAACCTATGGGAGTTTGCTTTCAAAAAATGGTAAAAAATCCTGGTTAACCTTGTGTTAATGTTCGAGCCACTTATACGCAACTTAATGTGCCACATCTACCTGCCAAATCCTTCCTTAGAATTTCCTGTTGTAAGCAAATGTTGGTTGTTTCCCAAAGAATGCCCTAAGAATGTCCGTCGTTCTTCTCGCTGTCCGCAAATTGGTTGCACGAGTATGGGCCCGCCTTTTCAGGCCTCCTGATAGGGTTCATAAAAGTGCAAACCAGCCTGTCAACAACAAACATTCCTAGCGCTACGTAATTTTTGATATATCAAACTTTGCCTCATATCCTGCTCTTTCTGGCGATCTTTTCTCTCTATAAGGGGCATAGATGACCACCCATGCCTTTCGAGTAATCGTATAGGCTCAAAAAGGGGTTCTTTAAATTTTGAAATCCCTAATCGATAAAATGAAGATACCAGAAGCTCAGAAATTGATTTATTCCCTTCTCTGCAAGCTATAACAGCATTCCATAAAGGAAGTACTTATAAAATGTAAGTTTAAAAAATTTCCAGCAAGATTTAAGACCATTAACCGGTATAATACTTCAATAATAATCTGTATTTACAGGCTTCCTTCTTCGAAATACACGAAAACTGATGGTAGAACCAACCTCCAGTTTCCCCCACTCAATCTCAATACTCTTCCAAGAACAACCGCTTTTTTAAACTACAAATAACACAGTCATACCCACGCAACAACAGGAAAACTGCCAAAAACAAAGTCCATCTACCTCGAAAAGTCATCAAAGTAAAATTCCCTTTCTCATTGAAATCCTTATGCTTCGTTTCCCCCAAAGTTTTCAATTCCATTTCATTGCAATTTACAGTACATTCCAGACACCACAAATTTATCATTCGGGCTGTGGGTAAATAAAAAAAAATGGAGGAGGAAGATGACAATTTCGTATTATTAAAATATGAAATATTCGGGGCGCAAACAGCGGAACTGTTCCATGTAAATAACCGCGTCGTAAACAAAGGTCATTGTCCACGGCGTTTCCGCGCAAGAAAGCGGCCATGGAACGTACGTGCGAACGGCCGAAAATCAGATTATGGGAGAAAAATTAGACAAAAACTGAACAGGGAAATGAAAAAAAGTGGGCGGAGCGGCCGGAAATAGAACGATTACCGTAGAGGACGGGAAGTATGAGGCTCGTCATTCTCAAGGAGGAATCAATAAATATTAATGGTCATTATTGCTGGTGCTAACAATATTACTACGGCCACAAAGAAGTAGGAAAAATGGGCGGAGCTAAAGGTTTTAGGTCCTAAAACATTTTTCTTTATGTTTTTTGGTATCAAAAGGGACGTATTTGGATATATTTTCGATGAAAATGAAAGAATATGCATTAAAGTTAGTATATATTTTCTTATATTGCATCAAATATGCTTCGTATCTCACATATATTTTTCAGATACGAAGCTATATGCTTGCGTTATGCAGAAACAATCAAACCTTTAAGATCAAAAAATAGCCAAAATTGGATACTTTAACACTTTTGAAACAACGATTGGACAGATCAATGGGTTCTGAATTTGAATTGAAAAGTAATAGCCACTCTCGAACAAAGGAAATCTGTCTGTCCGAAATTCGCGGAATTGGCCAAAAAACTTTTTTTTCTTTAACCAAATTTCCTCATCCTCCACAATCCCTCCGCTCCCGCGTTTTCTCACGTTCGGACTTTGAAACGGCCGGACGGAATCGAGCTTGGCCACGGAAAGAAGTCATAATATTTACTGCTTCAAGTTGCTGCAAAAGTTGCGCATTTTATAAGCAACATTAGCTAAACACCCCAGAGAAATCGCAAAAACTTGGAAGGCCATAACATAAAAAAAATGTTATGTCTTCAGTTATTGGGGGTTATTCAATTTAAGGGAGGCGTTTTGCATTCTGTTTCCCCATATAAATTGTAACCCAATTTTTTGAGGGGAGAGTAAAAACTTAAGGCAAAAAATTCATGCAAATCGCATGTACTTTGACATGTTCGGAAGGCCAAGAACAAAGGATAAGAAGAAATTTGAAAGAAAGGAAGAAAAGAAATATGAGTAATAAATACGTAAATGTCATTTACTGGGGCAATAGTTAAAAGAATATTTTCAGACGGTTGAAATCTCTATCAAAGTAAAAATAGTGTTTTTTGTTATCATCATCGCAAAAATCGCTGTGTTCTTGCCAATCTCCGTCATCCTATCTCCTCCCCTGGCTAAAATAACATCCTGTAATTAAAACCCCTTCTTAAAACCCTACAATTAAATATATCTCATCCTTTTGTGACTAGTATATCATCTTTTTGTGGCATTCCCGCCACATTCGGTTGAATAAACTTTTTCGAAACATATCCCAACAACACTATCGCCTGCCAAAACTGTCAGAAACAATTCGAAAATGAACTTTAAGACGATAAGCGCTGAGCCCATCTTCTCCGGTTCAGCGCGCTCCAAAATAGCATCATGTAAAGTGGGAATAACACGCCTCCAAGAGATAATAGGGACAAATAAGATTCTATTTTTTCGATAAAATTTGTTTACAACTGCGAAATGAACGCACTTTGTACGGAAAATAAAAGAAGGAAAGGTTAATTTGGTAATTAAAGACGCACTTGAAAGTTCAGGATTCAGATGGAATTTGAAAGTGACACAAATTTAGATGCCAATTTTTCATGCATTTTAAGGTGTTTTTAGCCTGCAGTTTGCGGAAATTACGGTAGTTTTTAGGTCGAAAATTGTCAAAAATTTTAAATTTTTTTTGCAATTTTCGAAATTTTTCAGAGTGTAAGGCGCTATATCTCTAGAAAACAGCGATTTTTTCCACGTGGAATTGACATGTGAACGGCCAAAAG